CAGAAGTTGGTATAGTAAAAAATTGGTGTTCAAGAGAAGAACTTCAACTAGTGTCAAATAATGGTTTAGAAGACAGCAAAGTACAAAAAAACAAATTTGTGTCCATACGTGAAGCAGTAGCAAACTTATCAATTTACAACGGTCAAGGTTTTGTTAAATGTCAATGTCAATCAGGAAAGCGGCAATGTCAAACCAATCGGTGCTTATGTTTTAAGAAAAATCTCCTATGTTCCAGCAAATGCCACCAAATAACAACATGTGACAACAAGTAATAGGTAAGAAAAACTTGTAATTATAATATAACTTTTTTATTTATTTTTATGATTTCATTTTTAAAACAATTATATAATATATTACTCGTATTTCATATACCAACGTGTTTTACATATAAATAAATAATACATAGATTTTTTATATAGGTATATAATAGCAATAAATTACTGATAAAAAATATATTGAAATTTTTAAAATAATACAAAATGTTTTTTTATTATTTGCCTGACATGAAATAGGTATTTAATCAAATGTCTAGTCATTTAATTAAATGACTAGGCATTTAACTAAATGTCTAGGCGGATAGTGAAATTGCATAAATATTAAATTCTTTGACTATATGCCTAGTCATTTAATAAAATGCCTGATTTGACTATATGCCTACGACATATCTACTAAATACATTTTCTTCTTTTCGAAAATTAATAACTTTAAAATAAACAAATCATTGGTACGTTGCATATGGTTTATATTTATTTTTTAAATATCGAGGATTCACTATTTCTGACACCATGTATTCAATATAGAATTCTGATAAAATCAGCTCCATTCTATTACGCAAAAAATCATCATCGCGTTCAATTTCATCCACACAAATTCCTTATAAAAATAATTTAAAAAAAAATTACAGTAATGAAATAATAATAAATAGTACATTCAGTAAAATGTATACCTTTTGGTGTCCATACAACAAAGTAGCAATATTTTCGGTCTGTTATATGCAACTGTCCTTGTGTCTGGTAGTAATAAGAATGAGTTTTTTTTAAAAATAAGTTACCCGATTGTATAAACATAAAGTTCAACTTTTTCTCTTTGTATGCATCAAGAGGAGTTAAATCTTTTATAGAAAATGGGCATTTAATTTCTATAATTGAATCATCCCCAATAAGACCATCTGGCGTTGCTGCTAAAAATGGAAGATGAGGGTCAACAAATAATCATGCTGGAGCTACTTCATATCCGAATTTTTTCTCAAATTCATCTTTAGCAATAGACTCAAATTGTATCCCATACCTAGTTTAAGCGATCAATATAATGTTAATTGTGCTTTTATAATCTGATGATGACGAACGGTCAAAATTAGTCGTTGTACATAATACTTTAAACACTGGACATTATAATACATTTATATTTTTCAATATATAATTAATTTTTTTATTTAATAATTTAAGTAAACTAATAATAAGGTGAATTCAAAATTGTAAATTTGGTATTCGATGGAATTTACTTATATAGTCCTAACCATAAAATATTTATTATTGGTAAAAAAATTATAATAATGTTAGTTTTTCACATAGGGGCTACATAATACATTACTAATTAAAAATTACCTTGTAGCAGTAGTCCCATGAAAATAAGGAAAAAATATCAAAAACACTATAACAATCAAGATTCTATAAAAATACCATAAAAGCATTGTTGCATATACGATATCTTATAGTTTCATCACAGATTATATCTATGTTTTATAATTGATCTATCGCGGAACCACGAATTCACGGAATTCGTTGAATGAGTCCGCAACATGCGATAATATGCGGAATAGCTTCCGCACGCGCACGAGCAAGTCACTATAACTGCGTCGCGCGCGTGAACGAACTGCATGTAATGTTTTATTTGACCATAAGTATGTACTTTTTGTCAACACTACCGTCCAATCTAATTATACGATAATAATTCTGAAAGCTGATCTGAATTTGTTATAATGTCTTTTTGAGATCGATCAGTCCACATTTTAAGATTTCTTAGTAAAATCTGAATAATCAACGTTTAAAAATTTGAAAATTTGAAAATATTCAAATCAAATTTGTAATAATTAGGGAGTGAAATTGGGAAATGCGGACTGATCGATCTGAAGTAGACATAAAGCCAAATACAAATCAGTTTTCAAAATTTTTATCGCATGAATAGGTCGATTGTTACAGTTGACAAAAGATTGGTATGTTTTAGTTAAAATACCCGACCGTTGGCAATCCCCTTAAGTTTCTGATTTTTTACAAATATTTCAGTTCTATAACGAAATAAAGATATATTAACAGTACATTTTAATATTGAATATATTTTACAAATTTTTAATGTGTAATTTACAAATATTTTATGGTTGAATATAAACTAGGATATGTGGAGTTATAGATTTTTAATCCGTTAAATATGAAATCTGTACCCTTGTTAACTATGATTCACATATACTACCTATATAAATGTCATAATTTGTGATAAATATTATTAATATTATTAATATATATATATATCAATAATATTCTATTCTATGGTAATATTTATACACTTAGGGCATAGGCGGAAATTGGGGGGGGCTTGAGGGGTCTTAGCCCCCTCAAAACGTACAAATAGAAAAATTAGCCCCCTCAAATAATTGATCACTGCAGGTTACTGCAATAAATATTAACTTTCAATTCAAATATTGTTGGAACGCGAATAAAACATTTAGAGAATATTATCGAAAAAAAATAGGATGTGATATATTTTCTGATTTCATGGTCAAATGCCTAAGTCCATACAGCACAGAGGCACAGCATAGTAAATATTTAAGAATCAATGTATATTAGTTTATTAGTACCTATATATAAACGATATCAGTTGAATCTAATGATTGGTTTCAATGCGCAGACAACGATATCTCATTATTTTCTTGGAATTGTCAATTATGTTATAAAAATAGACGAAATAGTAAATACCAATGTAAAATTTGACAATTCCAAACACACAACAGAGATATTTCTATTTCATTAGCCATTCAACCATTGTCCATTGCATCATATGTACTGTTAAGTGTTGTTTCGTTTTTTTAACTTCGTTCAATTTTTTTTTAAATATGTCCAAAAATGTATTTGACATATTAAATTTAAAAAAAAAGAATGTTCCGACCGTCGATATTGACTAAGTCAGAATTGATTCTGCATTATTTGAATCATCTTCGACTGTACATTCAGGCACGGTAAAACAATAGAATAAACATTTACAGCATAATAAATTGATAAGTGATTTGGGAACTTTAGACACAGGCCCTGTTCGTCCATTGCTAAAAGTAAGTATTTTTAGTTTTTACTTGTACCGAGGTACCTACTTGTGAAATATTGAATTCAAATAATATAAGACTATCTACTTGAAGTTAATACAACATTTTTTATTTTATAACTGTGCTATAGACTTATCCAAAAACTAATTTTGGTTCACAAAACTGAAGTTTTAACGATAAATACTATTCAAAATATGAATGGATTGAATATAGTATTGTGAATTATGCTATTTTTTTTTTTTTGCTGTCGGCATTATTCTACCGGAAAAAGTGTACAAGATGATGTGTTTACATTAACTGGGTTTAAAAATTGGAAAAAAGTATGTTTAACAAACTTAATGATAGGTAGTAGCATTGATTATAAATGCTATATTTATAATCAATAGTAGTTGGTACCTATACTTTTTGTATTATAATTTGATATGTTCAAAATATTGTATTATATACTCAATTGACTATTTAGTTAACTGGATCAAGAGGGAAAAAAAAGGCAATAAGCAAAGTAAACTTGAAGCACATTCAACTTGTAA